GATTCTATGCTGCTCTCTTGACTTTCACAGTTGTGCCTTTGCAGATTCTGGAAAACACCATGAGCTTGAAGATAGTCCGGAAGGTGCATGAGGCACTGCGTCACATCATGGCAGGGCTGATCTTCAATTCAGACATGAATGCAGAATCCCTTCTCCTCCTCAGTCATGGTCTCATCAGTGAAAACTTGCCTCTGCTTACTGAGAAGGCCAAGTGAGTTCCAGACTGTTGACCAAATGGTCTGTTATCAGTTGAGAAGCTTTTTTACAGAAATGGCAGCTCTCAAATGTATGAGAGTTTTCTTGCTTTCATTTGCTTTTTGTTTTCAATATAAGTGAATTATTTGTGCAGTCAGAGGGCAAGGAGAAAGCTTGGAAATAGGAGTTAGTACTTGCTGAACTCATGGGACTCTACTCTTGCAAGTGCTCCTGACCTTCAGGAAGGCTTTTTCACCATCTGGTAAGATGGCACATGCATTTGGGTCTTTGGATGAAGGGACACGAGGGGCCGTGTTCAGACGTGAGCTACAAGCTTTGATATAAGCGACGTTGGGGCTCCTGGACATATTCATGGGGTCAGGAACAAAAGAAACTATGGGTTGCCACCTTATCACTTTGCTACTGGTGCAGAAGTCAGAGAGAACCATCAGATTTCTTCTCCATCTGGTGGTGTCCCTGCTCAGAGCTGCATCTGGATGTCTTGCATTTCCTTTATTATATAGGCTGGCTTGCTGTAGGATCTAACAGCTGTTTGCAGACTTCCTGGAACATTTTTTATAAGCATCGTAAATTGAAGTGAATATCAGTAAATGAAGTGCCATGCTGGCCGGAAGAATAGTTGCTTGAAGGAACTGCCAAAGTTTGTGTGTCCACTGAGAAGGAAAAAGTGGGGTTGTTATGAAAATCGGTGTGCATTGGTTATCTTTGTAATAGTGGTGGTGTTCTCAAGTCTGAGGGTCCCATCTGTCCTTCTGCTCTCAAGTTTGTTTCATTTCATTGTATTCTGGCTGTGACCTGATTTTGCTTGCTGTGTGGGTGGTGGCTGAATGCAGCCCACCTCTTTTCATTCCCAACAGCAAGCTCGTTGTGGAGAGGGTTGAAATCTCAATGTTCTCCTTTGCCATATGCTTCTTTGCAGAAAAAAAGTTGCCCCTCCTCCAGATCCTCGTCTACAACCAGAGAGCTGCCTGCTGCTCCAGCCCACCCCCACAAGAGGTGGGCAGAAGGCACGTGTCAGCAGCAGGACCAACACGTATACTTTGGTTGATTCAGGACTTCGGGTAAGGATCTCGGATACAAAGCCTTGCCATCAAAATTTTTGTTAAGAGCATTTAAAGGAAGATATTAACACAGCCACTAGCCTTAACTTTATTTTGCATGTTGTAACTGCAACAGTGCCTTTTAGGGAGGTGTAAAAAGTGTTCACCTTGTTGCAGATACTTGAATGGGATATGGCATAAATTCTGTTCTCATCTGAAACAATGTGGGACTTGACTTGAGTCACAGGCTGGCTTTGAGATGACTATCATGTGTTTTCTATGTCAGCTGCTGCACATGAGCCTGAAGAGGTCCAAAGTAAATTCTTCTGAGGAGCGTGTTCTGGAAATGTTAGACCCCTTTGTACAGCTGCTTCTAGACTGTCTGAAATCTATGGATGTCAAGGTACAGTTCTGAGCTGGAGTCTCTGTTCTACTGAGAAGGGTCCTGCCCACAAATGTCATCTTGCAGTTGATCTGCAAGAGAAGAGAAAGCCATTCATTTTTCAAATCTAATTTCAAAGATATGCTGATTAAGCTTCTTGAGAATATGTTATCCCAAGTGGGAGGAAGGGCTGGAGGACTGAATGCTCTGCCTCTAGTGCTGCACGTTCAAATATGGACTAGGTCTCTCATAGTATGTTGATACAGTGACTTTGTAGACTTCATAGGCTATCTATGAGAAGGTTCATGAGGTCCTGTGACTGGTAGGAGCAGTGTTGTCACAGCTGTGGTTTCTTTTGATCCAACTCTAATGTCTTTATTCCAAACAACATAGGCAGCCTCCCTTCCGGGCAGCACTGGGTTTGAATGAGTCAGCATGCTTTGCTGACTTCTATGCCTTAAAGGCACCTCTGCTTCAGAAAGAGTTCTTGTCATCAGTACTGTGTTCCTGAATCAGCACTGTGTTAATATCTTCATCTAGTAAAATCAAAGTTGGAGAATTAGGGAGTGGCAGATAGTGGTTTTAGAACTGAGAAAGCCTTTATATTGCCTATGAATTGTTTGAAAGATGTTGATTTTATTAGCTAATTGCCTTTTACTACAGTTGCACAAAGCCTGACCATGTGTGATTACTGTAATAGAGAGAAAAGTGTTCTCCACATTTGATTGTAGCCACATACTATCCTTTGGCTCTTTCTTACAGGTGATAACTGGTGCTCTGCAGTCCTTGGTGTGGATTTTGAAGTTCCCTTTACCTTCTGTCAGTACGAATCTGGAGCCGCTGATCAAGCAGCTTTTCCTATTGCTGAAAGAATTTGCCAAGACAGGAATAGCTAAAGGCCAGAATTTCCACCTGGTTGTGAGCTGTTTCAAAGTAAGTCAGACCCAGCTCTGCTCTTTTCTACTCTAGGATTAACTTTCTAGAATTAGGCTCTTCCAGCTGCCCTGCAGCTGTTACTGGAGAGAGGTAGTCTGGAGATCACAAGGTAGTGAGGGAAATGTGGCCTTGCTGATTCTTTCCCAAGTGCAAACTTGAAAAAAGCTGCTGCCAAAAAATGCACAGCTTGGATCTTGGCAAGTGTTTAAATAGAAGCATATTTCCCGTCTTTCTTCCTTGTAATAGTATCTTGTTATCACCTAATCTTTTGAGAGGCATCAGTTTTATACTTGAATAGCTTGCTATTAATATGATTCACTGAAGTAAACCCTGGCAGCTGAAGTGAACAAGAGAAAGGGACAATTAATAGTAGTAATAACTACACTTACAGTATGCAGTGTCTTCCTGTAGATGTCTTCAGAATGTGTTGCTGAATTAATCATGGCTTCAGGATCATAAGGGAAAGTTAGAGTAATTCATGGTGAATGCCAGTGCTAAAAGAATTTATCCCTCTTCTTGCCTCTGTTCTTGCATTGAGCTTGATATATGTGAGCATCTCTACTAATTTCAAGGACTAATTTGAGTTTGTGTGTTTGCTTGTGTTCAGTTTTTATCTCAAAATCAGCAGCTGAAAGCAAACTGTGATGTCAGTCATTAGCTGCATGCTTCAGAGCAGCAGTTTGTCTTTTCAAACTTAAGTGGCATAAACAGAGTCAGGCTTTGGTGCAGGCTTATATTTTATGGTTTTATGGTACTGTATTGACAACGTGCAATTTGATTTTGTAGTGTGTAACAATACTTGTGAAGAATGCAAAGAGTCAGATAACAAGCAAACAGCTCCAAGTGTTGCTTGGCTTTGCTGAAGAAGACATTTATGACTCATCACGCCAAGCTACTGCCTTTGGCCTTCTCAAGGTAATTCTGTGCTGCGGTAGGTATGTGGGTTCTGTGAGACACTGGAATGGTGGTGATTCTGCCTCCTGGTGAAAGGCTGTGTGATCTCACATCAGGAAGAGGCCACAGTATGCTGTTAAGCCTCTATTATTCTGTTTGACTTATAGTCACTCTTTAAAATTGTTAGGAAGGCTGTTTTATGAGGCATGCGTATGAGGATATATTTGGAGCTGAGGATATTTTTGCTAAAGAATTGATCTCTAATCATTAGACCAGGTATTCTATTTCCTCCAAAATAAATGGATATGGATTTTAAAGCCATCCTGTTTTGTTTTGGTTTGGGATTTTTTGTTTGTTTACAGTTGCTCTGGCTATGCTTAAAAATATTAAAAAGTCAGTGTTAAATGTACCACCTGAGACCAATGTAGTCCCAGGTTATAGTACTGCATCTCACACTGCAAGCAGAATGACATGATTCCAACTGTGCTTTCACATTTTCAGGCTATTTTATCCAAGAAGCTGATTGTCCCTGAAATCGATGATGTGCTGCAGAAGGTTGCCCAGCTGGCCATCACAGGTCAAAGTGAGCCAGTGCGACTCCAGTGCAGGCAGGTTGGTAGAATGGGAAGTCTCTCATCTTACTTTACTTACAGGAGGCTTGAGAGCCTAGTGCGGTCATCCTAGCTCTCACAGGCACATGCCTTGCTGAACTCCTCACCCCATCTCCCGTTCTCACTAATCATTGTTCCCTGTGTTATCTGTTTGGCTTTAGTTCTTCTGACTGGTGCACCTCAGAATCACAGACTGCTTGCCATGACATACCTCCAGAGAGCTGCTCTACGTCAGTGTCACAGTCCATCCTTTCAGGGCTTTTAGGCTCACATAATTATGAGCCTCGCCCTTTTCAGAGGCCCATCAGAAGAGAATTTGCCACAAATCCATGACTTCTTCCCACTGCTTCCTCATTCTTTCCAAGCTAAAAGCAATAAAAGCCAGAATTGGTTGCTTCATTTCAAGCATTTGGTTATAGATGCAGGAGAAGCTGTCCGTAACTGAGTAGTGCATTTCCATAGTTACAGGGTGAATTTTGAAGGATGCAAAATCTTTCTTAACAGAAGTTTGCAAAATCACATTAATATTCTAAAGACTGATCTGGCAGTTGTAAAATGCTTGCAGATCCTTGCTCCAGGCACACAGTTTGAGTGTCGTTCCCTTGTGCAATGGGAACGGGATGAAAGGGATGATTCTTATAAACTTGCTGCTCCATTGTTAAATTTTCTTCATAAACTTTTTACAAGCTTTCCTGAATGTTTCTTGTAACTCCTCTTTGTGGTCTTGTTTTTTCTTTCCAGATTTACTTAAAATATATGCTGGACTACCCGCTTGGTGACAAGCTGAAGCCCAATTTGGATTTCATACTCGCACAACTGGAGTGAGTTTATGTTCCTATTATGTACCATATCTATCAGAACAGAACCTTGTTGCTTAAATATGACTTTAGTGGCCACCTTGTGTGCCAAAAGGCTGTTTGTGAGGAGCAGAGTGTGTGGCTGAAGTCTTGATTTTTCTTACATCTAAACTACTTCCCTTTTTCAGGGATGAGCTGTTTGCTAAAGCAAGTCCTTTTTCTCTTCCCTATTTCACAGCTGGGTTTGTTGTTCTCTGCCTCTTTGTAAGTAAAGGTTCAGTTGTTTACTTAGTGGGTGACTAGCTCCACTGGTTGTGAACCAAGTGAAGTGGAAAATCCAGGAAGAGAAGATGCATTTATATGACTGCTGTCCCCTTGACAGTGGTCTCAACTGCAGTTGTAGGCACAGTTGAGAACAACTGCATCAATTCAGCAGGAGCAGTGTGCTTGGAACCTCTCTGAGCGTGACCCCTCCCTTGCTCAAGGTGACAATAGCTTAACTATAGCACAAGTGCAGCTGTGCTGTCTCAAGTTGGCCGGAGCCCTTCTTCATCTGTTTGCCTCTCTGTGCCCATTCTCTGGGAGATGGAGCCAATAAGCCTGTTGCTTCTCTTCTAAGTATCAGACCAGATGTGGTAGCTGTTGTAGAAAGATCCCTGTCAGTGCCTGTGTCTGTCATTGTCTAATCTTGTGAATTTTTAACAACTTTCTAGAGTGTTAACCCAGCCCTAACTGTTAATTATTTCCTCACAGGTACGAGTATGAAACTGGAAGGGAATCTGCACTGGAGATGATTGCATACCTCCTTGACACATTCCCACAGGTAATGAGCACCCCTTGGTATTCCAAGCATCAAGCAGTTACTGCAGCTTGCAGTAAAAGTGTTTTTAGAGTAGTTTATCCTGGAAGCACTTGGTAGTTCCTATTATCTCTTACCATGAACAGAACATTCACTTGTCTCAAAAGAACCTGGCTTTGCTCCAAAAGATAAATGATATGCTGGAAAGTCTGCAGTACTTCTTTATCTAATATGCTCAGTCTGCAAGTGAAAGAAAGCTCTTGTCAGCAGGAGTTTGGATAAACTCAATGGTGATCTATGCCAGGAAGAAACAAGCAGCTTAGGAAATGGGGTACAAATAGAAAGTGAAGTGTAGAGTTTTCTCATTGTGGGTTTTTTCAGCATGCATGAGAGAGATTGGTTGACTGAACTGGTGTGTGATGTATCACATATGGTTTTTAGGCCTGGCTGAAGAGGGAGGGCTTCTCAGTAGGGGGGATCAAAATGAAAGCTAGAAAAATAACCATGCATCTGTGGTGGGTAACATATGCAAAATGTTAAGCTGCCTTGAAGCTTTGCAGCTGTAGCTTGACTGAGCATTCAGGAGACTGAGAGAAGTGCAGCCTAACAAGAATTTGGGAGTAAGGAAATTATGTACAGTAAGCTGTGCTTCACCACCTGATTAGATTTAGTAATCGCATGTTGTTTCCTGGCAGCTTTGTAAAGGAGCAAAGAGCTGCTATCTCTGTGAGAAGTACCTTTGGACTGATAGCTGCAGTGTTGAGGGACTTAAGCCTATTCCAGAAAGAGCTGGATGTGAAAATGCCCTTTAAAGTTTGACACTCATGTTGTCCCAGGGGCATGTTAGGAAGGCAGAATCAGAGTGGGGCTGGGGCTGCTGGACCCTCCCTGTGCTCCAGCAACTGGAACATCCTGTCCTTTCACTTCACCTGCCTTAACATGGGCCCCACTCAGGGCTGACATTGTTCCTGCATGCAATGCAACAAATACCCCTCTTTTCCCCTTTAAATGGCAGAAGCTTCATTGGGATCTTCAGCTGACTAATGCTTTTTTCTTTCTAGGACCTCCTCCACAAGTACTGTGGGTTGTTTTTTCTGTCTCTATGCATGATGATGATAAATGATGACTCTGCCAAATGCAAAAAGATGGCAGCTTTGACGTGTAAATCTCTCCTCAGTAAGATAAACAATGAAAAACAAGATCTGATGTTCTCTCTGGTCACAGAGTGGTTTCACAGCAAGAAGGTATTCTTTGTTCTTTTCACTGACCAGGTCTGAATTTTGTTGGGGGGCTGAGTAAGATTAAGGCAAGTGAGAGGGTGCCAGTATCAGGTCTGGGGGATTGGTGGGTTCAGTTGTACTTGGCTTAGTAGATTTAGGAAAGGAGTATGGCTGGTACCCAGATTAGACACCCTTTAAAGCTGTGCTCAGTGCCATATTTCCTTCTGTTGAGACGAGCAAGAAATGATACAGCTGCACAAAGCTAGGGAGGTGCTGGTGCTGTAGGTCAGCCTACAGACTTTCCCTCTGCACTGTGCTGCTTTCTCACAGTTCCTCTCCTGCGTCAGGTGTTGCACCAAGCATAGTCTTTGCTCACATTAAAGGTTTGAGCAAATTCCTTAAAGCCCTTGTGATCCCAGTAACTGGCTTTTTGTGCTGTCCTTAGGTCAGACTTGCTTCATTCTGTTGCCAGCAGCTCTAAGGTGACAAGCCTAGTTTCACAGATCACCCATTTTGATCTGGGCACCAGGATGTTTAAACTGGACTCAGGTTCTGTCCCTCCACACTAGTGGAGTAAGTGTTCTTCAGCACTTCATCATTTTCTTCTCTAATGTGTTCAGTTCTGGAATATAGCTGTGAGCTGCCTGTTGAATTGTAAAGAATCAGAGTGCCAAGTAGCTCCCAGGGCTTTGCAGCTTGAACCAGACTGGAGAAAGCCTTTAGACAATCAGTTTTAGGGTGTGTTTCCAGGGATAACTTGTGCTGCCAGGTGCTTTCGTGCCTAGCTAGTAGCATCTCCTTTCTTCAGTAGTACTCTGAAAACCAGCTTCTCTTAAGATACCATTGCTACAGCAAGTACAGGTTGCTACCAGCTCCTGCACATGGGAGCTGCAGGATTTGATTGTCAAGAAGTAACAAGGGGGGTTTTGTTCTTCCTGTTGGCAGAGCTCACACAGAAGGCTGGCTGCCCAGGCATGTGGTTTGTTTGTTGAAGTGGAGGGAGTAATGTTTGAACGGCGGCTTGGACCTATCCTCACCTTGATTGAAAAAGAAATCAACCCAGTTAAATTTGAAGATGTAAGTAATTTTTCCCA